TTACATCAAAAAACTCAGGATATCACAATACTAGAACTCAGGATGTTAACACACAGCCCATTACATAGGTCGTTAAAACACAAAAGACTAATATATATACACATATATAAGACATATATAATTTTTATATATGAATAAAAAATAAAAATCTGATTATCAAAATGCACTAAAAAGACAATAAGTAGAAGAAAAAAGAGTAATTATCCCAAATACAAAATATTAAATATCAAGAAATGTAAAATCCAAAAAAGGGGAAAAGAAAGAAAGAAAGAAAAATACAATATCCCAATTTTAGCTTTTCCACATTTCAGGTTTTAAACAGCAAAATAAAATAAAATATAATAAAAGAAAGGAAGAGAAAAAATCAAAAAATTTGCATTCCAGAAAGTCAGCAAAAATAATATATCAGCAGAAAAAACAATTCCAACAAAATAGTCTTTGAACTTTGAACTATTATTCAGTTGCTAATCTTTTTCCTTCTTCCCCTTCTCCACTTTTACTCCCACTGAGTCATAAGACAGTTTATCTCAAATGTTACTCAAGGTCATTCTTTGTTCATTCCACACTTCCCCCCCAAAAAAACCCTTTTCACCACTAGATGGCACTGTATACCTTCTCAACTTATTTTCACTGATCTAAAGTCTATTCGTTCTGACTTAGATCTTTCCGGTTTCTAATTTCTAAAATCAAAAAATTATCCATATTTCAATCTTATTACACACTGCCCACTCTGCTTTCCCTTATTTTCGCAATCAGTTCATACTCTTTGAAAAAATTAATTTTTATATTGGCCAGCATCTTGTAATGCCGCTGGTTCGAAAATGGGGAGGTTCCCAGATATCCGCTTCCTCCCCTTTCACTCTTGCCATTCCTTTTCGTTCTAATTAATTTTCTACAGTTCAGGTTATCTCTTGAAAGATAGAAGTCTTATTCCAAGACAGCAATTATCTCACCCAGATGAAATGCCTTGCTCCTCTTTCTTTCACTTCACTTGTGACTGCTCCGCCTTTGTGACAGCTCTCAATGGCTGTCTTCCCAGCTGCAGAGTCAAAGGCTCTTCGCTGGTGCTACAGGGAACTTGCGGATCCCCTTTCCACACCAGCCTGTGCCCTCTTTCTTCACTGATCCTACGGATCAGCTATGGTCTCCTATGGACCCCCAAAACACTGAGATATCGACACTTACTCTGGAGCTCCAGAGTTTGTGTCCTTCTGCCAGTCACAAGCCATGCCCCTCCCAAACTGGAATTATTTCTATTGGCATACTCGCAGGAAATTATGATAAAAAAACACAATACTTAATATTACATATCATAACAGCAGCCAGAATTGTGTACTCACAAAACTGAAAAAATAATATTATACTATCAGAGGAAAGTGTGATAAGAAAAGTGCTGGAGTGCGCTGAGATGGATAGACTGATGAAAGAAATAAAAGACAAAGGAGAAACAGAGTACTATTTGATATGGAATGTATGGTACAACTGGTTAGAGGATAGATGTAAAAGTAAAAAAAAATATTAAATAAAGAAGACTTAGGAGTTAGAAAATAGTAATAAATCTCTATAAATATATATGACACAAAATGTTTGTTTATAGATCAGTATATTAATATACCAATAAGTATAATGTACAAAGGACAATGGAACCACATGTATAGATATATTGATGTAATGGGAAAAATGGATACGTAGCAGATGAATACCGATACAGAAATGTTGTAAAGAGGAAAATTGTTTAAAAATATTAAAAATTGTTTAATAAAAATTTTAAAAAAGAAAGAAAAGCCGCAAATATACAAAGATTGAAAACAAAGAAATAATGATCTTTTATTACCAATCAAATCCAACAAGAAAAGGACATCTGACAAGAATGTAGCAGTTCTGGAAAGAACATCCAGAATCAGAAATAGCAGAAAAGAGACTAGCAGATAAATGTTGATTTATAGTATGGAATTCATGAAAGCAGAATTGGAAGAACTGCAAAGGTCCATCCAGGGCAAAGAAATTAAAGCCTTGCTGAAGTAACTCAGATTGCACAGCCAAACCAGGGGAAATCAGTATTAAAAGAAACTAACATAACTATTATAGCATTTTCATTCCCAAACCAGGCACCCTCTCTTCTGCTTTCTCCTCAAAAAGATCAAAGCCCCCTACTTAAAGAAGAAATGTTGAAACAAAAAATAGCTGAGCATCTGGGACAGGACAAAAACAACAAAATGTTTCCTGCAAAGAAGCTGGTTCCAAATAAACAGCTAGCACAAGTATTAAAAGATGCCAAAGCTGTAATATCAAGTGTAAGCACTAGAAAGATCATGCAAGAAACAAACCAACTAATGTACAGCATGCTGCAGTTTTAATTGAATACTGTGGATACAAAATCAACAAACAAGGAAAAAACAAACAGCACACTACAAAATGGAAGATCAAACTGAAAATAAGATCCACCTGCTCAGGTCAGATACAAGCAAGTTAGAACAGATGAAAGAAAAGAAGCTGAAATTAAGAAGACCAAGAATTCCTGATCAAGAAATGTCACCTAGATACTGTTAGAGTTTGCAGCAATCAACCAGTACACAAGTAAATAGTTCAGCAGGATTAATGTATAAAAGAAATGTCTTTATATACAGTAATATAAAGCATGATGCATGTATACAATACCCATGCAGCAGAAGCTAGAACCAGAACTCACAGAAGCACAGAATCAATAATGCAAGGACAAACCAACTTTTATATATATATACAGATCAATCAAATTAAACCACTCCTAGACTCCGAGCTGTCTCCAATGGTTCACAACAGATCCTGTTTCTTAGTCACCAAACAGTTTCCATTGGCTGACTTGTAGTTATGGCTATCCCAGCTCATAATTTCTTACACACTGACAGATACAAGAAGATTAATTAAGTACTGGAAATAATAAAGCAATAAATAACAGCTATAGCCAAGAAGATTAGCAGATACAAAGCCCAAATTGCACACTCATGGGAGAATCTCCAATCTCAGTCAAAACAAAAACATTTGTACCAATCCATCAGTGAAGAGAATGCAGTGCACAGGTCAAGATTTGACAAAGAAAAAACAATGCAGTTCTGGGCACAACTATGGAACAACACACAAAATACAACAAAAATGCAGTTTCAATAAAGGAAGTAGTTAATAATAAAAATGGTTGAAATTAAAGAACTTATAATAACAGCAGAAAAAGCTGTGGAAAAAAGAACAAAAAAAATCAAAAATTGCTCAGCACCAAGTGAGCTTCATTGTTGAAATATCTGATTGGTCTCTTAATCATTGTCAAGCAGTTTAGCAACACACTGCAAGGAAATGAAATTGAAGTTTGGTTAAATCTGGCAAAACCTACCTGATAATGAAAGATCCAACAAAACTAGCAGCATCAGGCAACTCAGGCCAATTACCTATTTACTAGTAATTTTCAGTTCCACCTGATGCTTATGCAGTCCAACAGCATCTAGTTGGAAAGAAAGTAAATAAGTATGACTGAGCAGAAAGGAAACCTATGATTTCAGGTTTCTCCATTTCTTTTTTTTTATTCCAATCCCCAATTAATGGCATAGCATCCTTTACTTACTGTATTTTTCAGAGTATAAGACACACTTTTTTCCTTCCTAAAAGAGGTTGAAAATTTGGGTGCGTCTTATACTCCGAATGTAGCTTTTTCGAAGCTTTTTTTCAGCCCTAACGAGGCGCTAGCAATCTTCCAGGCTTTGCCTGCTCCCTCTGACTCTCAGCTGTTCTTTAGAAGCTTTTTTTCAGTGAAGCAATCTTCCGCCTGCTCCCTCTGACTCTCAGCTGTGAAGTTTTTTTCAGCCCTAACAATGTGCTAGCGAGTGAAGCGATCTCCATGGTTTGCCTGCTTTTCTCATTGCTTCCCTCTCCAAAGATCAGTTGTGCTTTAGAAGCTGTTTTTTAGCTTCTAAAGCAGGGGATAAAAACCAGCAAACTAATGTGCTGAAGCTACCAGACTAAGGATGCTAGCCAGATGAATACCTGGTAGGCAGATTTTTTTTTCCTATTTTCCTTCCCAAAAACTAAGCTGTGTCTTATACTCTGGTGCGTCTTATACTCTGAAAAATATGGTATTTACTTCTATACAGCATTTACATTAATTGGTCATCCAACTCTAGTGGACTGGTCAGTATACAAAACTAAAAATAATTAAAAAACCTTTAAAACATTTGTTTGTTTGTTTGTTTGTTTGATGAAAAAAACCCATTTATTCTTACTACATTTCTGAATTTACATTGAATTTAATTCCATATGTAAGGTATGCACTGTATAATACTGATGCCTAAGGATATCCACTAGTTTTATTAAACATAAATTTGCTGTTTACTGAGTTACACTTCAGCATTCAATGTGTTATTTCCATTTCATGGAATAGTACATTATATAGATAAATAGAACCTAGAACCAAAGAGAAATTTCCCGACAGAACAATCAATTAGTGGAATGACTTGCCTCCAGAAGTTGTGGGTGGTCCAGCCCTGGAAGTTTTTAAGAAGAGATTGGACAATCATTTGTCTAAAATGGTATAGGGTTTCCTGCCTGAGCAGGAGGTTGGACTAGAAGACCTCCAAGGTTCCTTCCAACTCTGTTATTCTGTCATAAATAAGTAATACATACCTTTACCTGGGTATGTCTATTACCTATCATTAATTAATTCTAAGGTAATTCATGTAAGAATAGCATTTCAACTATAAAGGAACACTTCAATTATCTAATGTACTGTATAATGAAAGAACCATATGGATTTCGAAGCCTAATATACAAACATATATCTAGTTTAGCAACTGATCAGTATTAGAAGTTAATATAAGTAATGTAGCTATATAAAACAAATATTGACTACACTATTGCTATTAAATAACAATCATACAAATTTATGATTAAAATGGCAGCTTAAATAGCAGTTCATAAAGATAATTTATTTAACCAATATTACAATACTGACATTCCTTTTCAAAACCACTTTTTGGCAGGATGAAGTGGTCAGCTTTTCAAGCATTCAACCTCAGATAGAAAAACTGAAGGTACAAGGCAAAGCACTAAAAGAGAACCAGCAGTGTCCAGTGTTTTTGGAAGCAGATCTTGTTGCCTTTAGTAATCATTTTGCTCAAGTGTACGATGATTTGAAAGCTAGAGAAAAGCAGCTACAAACAAGTAAGTGCTGATATTAATTATTGTCAACAAATAGCTCAGAACCAAAACTAGTTTGGAAGGTCATATATATATTTAGCTACCTGTATATAACAAAAAATCAATGGTCCTGCAGCTAATCATAACTTTTACTCATTTTTCTATTCTTCTGTACAAGTGCAGTATATATGCAAAACAAAATATAAATTTTGTTTATTTAGAATTGATTTGGGCTTTGATTCAAAAATGCTGATTGTACATCACTCACGGAAATTGGTGATCAAATTTAATGATGAGTAGAACTAGGATTGCATTATGTCAGAGTGAATGTTTATTGTAAAGAATAAACCAGCATAAAATTTACTTTACCTCAAAATGCAAGTAATTAGAGTCACCTAAAGGTATAAATGCAATTGCTGGGGGAGGATTGTTTTTGCTTTATAGCTGAAATTTGCACAGAATTATCAGAGGCTGTAATTCTGGTAGTAAATACAGATTTTTCACATTTTAATATGCCACATGCATATTACAAGCAACAGTCAAAAACTTCTTTTAATTCTTTTAATAACTCTTTCTAGATCCTATATAATCCTCATTGGCATTCTTAGAAATAAAAAAATGGCTGCCAAATGGGTGATATATTTTGCATTCTTCTGGAGCTCCTTTTTCACTATGTTGAAGTACTGCGTAACTAGATTTTGTCAGTAACGTACATTTATGTCTTCTCCCCATCCATAATTCCCTCATATATTTCATATATTACCTCTCATTAGTTGTTTTAATAGTATTCCATTAATTGCAGGTTTTCTTATGTATGAATGGCGCTTCCAGCAGCCAACCTCTAGCCAGATTGACTTGGTTCCCTAACTTCTGACACATAACTTGTTAATCCAGGTGTTGTCCAAAGTGGCATGATTCTCTTTGTTTATATCATCCTCATAATCACGTTATGCAGGTGAAACATTAGGGAGCCTTTTCCCGAGACCCCTACTGGTATGGTACAACTGATTTAAACTCCAATGTCCCATGTCAAAGGCCAGTCTCTCATGTCAAAGTGCAATGCTCTAACCACTGTGTTATCCAGCCACTATTAATTGTGGTCTTTATATGTACACACACATATACACAGATGGATACACACACACACATACCAATCATACTGTATTTCTTGCTCTTCACAATGCACTTGGAAGCTTCCTTACAGCAATGATCCAAGATACTTGGAACACATAGCTGTAGAGGTAACTGATTTAAAGTATTTCAGTTATCAAATACTGCTAATCTTACTTGGAAAACTCTAGGAAAACTAGAACATTTTGCAAAAAAACCCAAACTTTTCTTAAGAATGTATGTGAAATTTAATAAATTGTGTTTCTAGATTATTTGGTGATATTCTTTTTATAATTAATATTGCCTAATTGGGCTTTTGAGCACATGTGCTAAAATAATCCCCCCCCAAATAATCCTCCCCCAAATACTTAGACGCATGCACAGCTGCTGCACAAACAGGAGGTGAGGCTGGAGGGGGGGAAGGGAGGGGGAACATGCCCCATGCACTCCACACGCACCTGCCATCCATGTAGAACGGCCTCACGGAGGCCGCTCCCACAAACCCTAGCTCACGCGCCCCTTCTCTTAGTGGCAGCCACAAAGAGCAGCTGCAAAAAAACTCTTGCCAGCCCTAGCCCTGCCGACCTGGGACTGGGGGAAGGGGGACTGGTGCCAGAGCTCCAAGCAGTGGCTTCTGCAGGCTGCCTGAGCAGCCATGAAGCAGTATTGGCATGGCCAGTTTTTGCCCGCAGCATTGCCAGCAAGGATTGGTCAGAGCCGCTGAGATCAGCAGGCCAGATTCAGTGAGCCGGATGCACCGCTGCCACTCAGGAGAAGAAGAGAGAGGAGGCGGTGTGAGAGAGCCTATTTCTCATGTTTTTCTCCTCCCAGGTGTAGGCAGCACATTCAGCTCCCTGAATCTGGCTTGCTGATCTCAGCTGGTGAGGGGGAGTGGCAGGTGGGGAGGGATGGGGTGGCGGAGAAGTGAGATGCATGGAGCGAGATGGGGCTTCCTTTGCCATCTCTTCTCCCCCCCCCCCCTCGCCGGGCATGGCAGGAGCTGGAACTCAAGTAAGACACGACGGAGAAGCAAGACACATGTTCTGCATGGATGGCAGGTGCATGTGGGGCATGTTCCCCCCCCCTTTGACACCCCCCCCACCTTGCCTCCTCAGCTCATGCTGTTTCAATGGGAAGCAATGAAAAAGCTGCCATGATTGCTGGAGGCAGCAGCCTGAGCAGCACTGGTGAAGCAGCTGGTTGGCGCTCTGGCACCAGTCGCCCTGCCACGGGCCAAGGTTTAGGGGCCTCCTGCACCTCAAAACTAATAAGACCCCCTGATAATAAGGCCAAGGCCATATTTTGGGGGTCAAAAGAAAATAAGACCCTGTCTTATTTTTGGGGAAATGCGGTATTAATATTTTTTTATTTTAAAAAACCCCCTCTATTTTCCAGTTTTGTTTTCAGTTTCTATCAGAATCAACTTTGGCTAGCTACAAAACATATCCCATTGTTGTTCATGGCAAAATTCCATTTAATTTAAATGCTTCTGAATTTTTAAATCTAGGGTTGCAACAGATGCTAACCTCTTTAAGACATCTGTAATGCCATTCTAATGGGGACAGTTCAGTAAAATGCTAGTTGTATTTTCTGCTATGCTAATGTTCTAATATAAGCATTTAACAGATGTCCATAAGAGAACATTTCCTTTCTTTATAATAACATGAACCATAAAAAGATATTGGCACATCCAATAGTAGCCATAAAAAGACCCAACATTTCTAAATAATGGGATTTGTGGAAATACTTAATTTTTTCTAAACTTTATAAATATTAAAACCCAATTTGGAAACATGATAATTCATAATAATTTTGACTCAAAATGATCTGAATTTCTTCATTGTATTTTCCATTAGTTGGTACGTAACTAACATATTCCAGCATATTCTACTATTTCATTTGCAAAAAATATTACATAATATTTTATGTAAAATATTATAAAGGAATAATATAAATAGAAGGTTATCTTAAATGAGCCTCAAATTAATTCTTTGATGATACAAATAAAAAGCTAAAAAAATAGTTGATAAATCTATGTCAATAGACCAAAACTGAGCAACTTTTTTTCTCATAAATTGGTATTGGTCATGTAAAAGATAGAAAGCAGGTGTTTCCACTATCCTAAAATGTATTGTAAAAAGCATTATATACATATCAAATGTGTTTATACAAAATGGTATTACATTGTTAGCTAGAATAAGATTGTTAACTAGAATAGAGACTTTCCAGACTTCTTCAGACAGAAACACATAAAAGACATGCTCATACACTAATAAATTAGCAATCACTGTTTGTCATATTGCAGTCTTGTCACTCAAACATCAAAGAATATGTGTTCTGCCCCAGCTACGGACCACAAAGAACGCAGTACACACAAAGTCCATACAAACCTTAGTTTACTAATTAAGGACTACTAATGAGCTTTCTTAGTAGTTCAAACATAAGTACAGTTTAAATCAGTCTTTTCTGAACAAAGGCTGTTAATTTAACTTCATTAACAGCCGACAAGAGTCCAAGGAATAATAACTCAATTCTGAGGCACAGTCTTTCAGATAACCATAAGCTTACTGTGGTTGGCAGAATGCCCAGAAGCAATTTGCAGGAAAAATGACGAGAGAAGCAAGAGCCGATCAGACGTTTCTGGAGTCAATACGCGAAGGAATATGAACGAAGTTGTTTTCTGCAAATTGCCTCAGTCATCGTCATTCCTTAAAGAGTCCCTTGGGAGTTGGGCGGCATAGAAATGCGATAATTAAACTAAACTAAACTAAACTAAACTAAACTAAACTAAACTAAACTAAAACTAAACTAACTACTAAACTAAACTAAACTAAACTAAACTAAACTAAACTAAACTAAACTGGCTAGGGAAGTGGCCAATTAGCCCCAAGCCTTACTCTCAAGGACACCTCCTCCTGAGGAGCCATTCCTGCCTTTTGGCAACTCTGCGCGCCTGTGCATTGAGAAGAGGCTCCTCCTCTTATTCCTCTTACTTATAGGAGCTTCTGGAGGTTCTGAAGGCCCTGGCTGAATCCCCGCCTCTGGCACCAAATCTTCTCCAGCCTCCTCATTGTCTGACTTGGGTGCCAGCTGCACAGGCTGCTGGCGAATCACCACACCAGCCTCCTCGCTGTCGGAATCAGCTACCAGCTGCACAGGCTGCTGGCGGGCCACAACAATATGAACATTTTAACAGGAACACCACATTGAACAGAAACCAGTGTGACTTTGTCACCAAATATAGATGATTATCCATTAGAGATGAACTTGTGAACACCTGTGGATCTTTTAGTGAGCAAGGGGTTGGACTGGATTAAATCTCTTCTGAGGTTCTTTATGAATTGAGTAAGTCCAGTGATGCCACTTGAATTTTACATCTTTTTTCAAAGATGACTTATGTCTATTCTGCATGAAAGGATTAAAGATCCTAATGTAAATATTAATTAAAGAATTAATTTGATTCTAAATCTGGGTACCAATTACACTGGAGTCTTCCTGGATTCCAAGCACATGAGTTTAATTACCCAGACTACCAAAAATGTTCTTGAGAATATTGATTGGGCAATAATAAAGGCCTGTTCAAAAATTCTCAAAATCAAACTTCCTACCAGTAGTCCTCGACTTACAACACTTCATTTAGTGACCATTCAAATTTATAACGGTATTGAAAAAAGTGACTTATGACCATTTTTCACACAAACGTTGCAGCATCCCTATGGTCATGTGATCAAAATTCAGCTGCTTGGTAACTGACTCATATTTATGATAGGAGTAGTGTCCTATAACCTTCTGACAAGCAATGTGAATGGGGAAGCCACATTCACTTAACAGCCATGATACTAACTTAACAACTGCAGTGATTCACTTAACAGCTGTAGGAAGAAAGTTTGTAAAATGGGGCAAAACTCACTTAA